TAGGTGCAGATTTGGCCAAATTAGGTTCAGTGTATCTCTTAGAAGCTATCAGCTAGGGCATATAATTGCGTACAGGGTGTCCCAAAAGTAAGGTCATCATTTGTTTTGGCCACACCGCCAAAAATACGCGATGGATAGAAATAAATAGGACATGATATGAAAGAGCATTTTATAAAATTTTATTCTGATATACATATGAGTCAATACATTGGCTCGTAGCCCCACATTTGCTGCTTTTCTGCATGGCTACCATTTCGGGCCGCGTGCATGAATAGACTGCGTTTTACTTCCTCCACTATTCTGGAGCGATTCTCTGGTGAGATGCCGCTTATGTTTGCTCGGAGGGATCATCCTTTAGTTCTTCCCGGCTCGTTGGGTTGTCCTAAAAGACATCCTTTCCGTTGTGGACCCAGAGAATAAAGATATGAAGGTGTAATGTCAGGTGCCCGCTGAGGCCATTCAATGGCGTTGCCCTTACTGAAAATTACGCGATCTCACATCCACTCTCGGAGACAATGCATGATCTTCAGGACGGTGCAAGCATAGTCTCCATCCTGCTGAAACCACTGCTGGTTGATGGTGTCGGCACAGCTGCGTTGCGACGAGCGGAAGAACCACTGGGAGGACTCTCGGCCACCTCTCTTGATTTATTTTCACCCGATTCCCGCTGTCGTCCTCAGGACCTCGAAGCACTGGTGGCTAAGTATACATGCCCTGTGCGTACGTTATACCTTTTTTCTGACGTTTTACCGGTTGAGGCGAAACTATGCATGAGTTCAGAGATAGGGCGAGCTGATAGGGTCTGCTTAGGGCCGAAAACTGGGCGGTATTTACCCTTTGTTTTAATGACGGACCCTCTCTAAGAGTTGAATTTCGACCTTCTCAGTTTTATGCCTACTGCTCGGTGTAGTTATGATCAAAAATGGTTTAAGCATGCAAGAAAATAATTTTATGGATGTACCTTGCACGTGTTAAAATTGGAAGTGATTGGGACTCTTACTTCTCGAGATATTTAAGTTTTAAATCATGACCTTACTTTTGGGACACCCGGTATATGCCTCCTTTGTCATATTATCAGAAAGTTTATCATCGATTAAAACACTGAAATAAATTCATAAAATGAAGATATTTGCTGTATAAGAGATTAGGTACAGATTTAGTCAACTTAGGTGCATTCGCCCGATAGCCGGTCGCGAAAACGGCTATTTAGCTCAGTTGGTAGAGCGTTGGACTCCGCGTGGTGAGAGCACGCGTTCCCGGTTATAACAGTCCGGGTTCGAAGCGCAACAGGCGCTTGACATTTATGGGCCTCCTAGTGACAGGTATGGTTGCGGTTGGTGGCAGGCCGTAGCCAGGGGAAGTCAGTGAGGGGACCGGCCGTGCCCTGCTATTCTGCTATAAAACTGGAATTGGGTAGAGGGCAGGGTCACCGCAACAAGCTTCGCTTAGCGGTGGCTCTGTTCTTGTGAATCCTTCCTTTCAAAAGGTTCGGACTAAATTTAAAAAAGAAATATTCCGTTTTATAGAGCTATTATGTTTGTTGTTTACAATTGTTTTCAAGGTATAGTTACCTACTTAACGTCCCATGACCCATGCACGCCATTGAAGAGGAACTTGTGACTTTTAGGACACAATAATATCAGACATATTTATATTTATTTACAGCAGCATTCAACTATATAGTATGCTACATTGTCTTCAGATGCTGCCTGTCACAGCGTAAGATATTGACGGAGTTGCATCAACTCATAGTGCAGAAGTGATCAAAACAGTGCAACTGCCGCCATGCAACTCCGGCGTCCCAAGCTTCATTGCTCAGCATTGCTCAATGTTTGTGCTCACATCACATAAAACATGAGACACATGGGTAAAACAGAACACATTACATGCAACACGTGTATCGCATATGTTTGGAAGTTTTGATAAACAGCATGCATGTCGACATTGAGGGTACCTATAATTAGATGGGCAATTGGCATGGATGAGTTATATTTTTATGGATGATTTCGTGATGTTTTCTTGAGATCGAGAGCATGAGCGCTGAAAACGTGAGATCAGAGCATTCAGTTACTGTCAGTAATGTTATGAAGAAATAAATTGCATATTTGACTTGCATCCGCATTCATTGTTTGACAGTCGATTCGGGCGCATCATGAATCCCTTGGGCTACATCTTCTAAGTCTCTGAGTCTCCGTGAGCCTCTGGTCTTTGATATCATCTCAGCTTAATGGTCACAATTACCAGTACTTTCAGCCGCTTTAATTTTTGTTGATGGGTATTGGGTGCACAAGTACGTACTTACTACCTACACTTATGTCGAGTAACACCCAGGTTTGTAAAGTTACATAGCAGGTTAGAAATTTGCCAGTTGGTCCTAGCATTTACAAAGTAACAAAGATCTACCTACTATTATTTTTTGCGCCATTTGTATGATTGGATGATCGTCCGGTCACTATTTATGAGATCCGGTGCCATTTGAAAGTATGAGGAGCAAGTTTGCTATCTCAACACACATCCAATGTAGATGAATGTAACGGGCCTATCAGCTGTCACTTTCAAAGGCGGAACTGTCACCACATGGTTGGGAGCCTTGGATGTGGCCCTGCCCGGCTTCCGGTCACAGGAGATAGCGCGATCTCTGCCAAGGTGATCGTGTACTGGGCCGATCAATGGGGGTGATCGAAGGCTGGTGTATGCGTACTCCGGTATACTGATAGGGAGAGGGAGGGAGGGAGAGAGAGAGAGAGAGAGAGAGAGAGAGAGAGAGAGAGAGAGAGAGAGGAGAGAGAGAGAGAGAGAGAGAGAGAGAGAGAGAGAGAGAGAGAGAGAGAGAGAGAGAGAGAGAGAGAGAGAGAGATAGAGAGATAGAGAGAGATAGAGAGATAGAGAGAGATAGAGAGAGAGATAGAGAGAGAGAGAGAGAGATAGAGAGAGATAGAGAGAGATAGAGGATAGAGAGTAGTGTGAGAAACCGGATGCTAGAGCGAACCCGGATGTGTAAACGCTCGATCTGCAACATCGGACTGTGAGTCTTTTCCTGCTCAATTTAATATTGACATTGGCTATCAATGTAAACTCCATTCAATCCAACAATAAGGGAATGATCTCAGCGCAGTGAATATGATAAATGTGCGTGGAAGTTGGAACATTCTAGGAACTAAATACGTTTACTGTTCACGAAGCTGACATGCACATTTATCACATAGATACACACTGCACAATAAGTGAGTGCAGTGGAAGGAAATACACACTGCACAATGTGCATCATAGCCGTATATATTTATTTAGCGCCGACTGCAAATCCATTCAAAATATGCAATCACTCCGCTCCAATGTGTAGTTGGGAAAGGTATCTATTGCGAAAAGAAAACGTTTACAGCACGGACATATTTAGACACCGCTCATCATTTATTTGCCTTGAACATGAAGGATTGTTTCAGATCAATAGCGAAGTCATGCATGAATCTCTCAACATTCAGCTAGCCCGCACCCGCACACCCGTTCCAGGTACCGTCCAGGACAGCGCCTCTGCCCCGCGGAGAGCACCGTTTGCAGTCCGCTGATCCCTGGCGACGTCACGGTGCACTTTGGTGACGTCACGACTCGTTATAATGACGTCACCGTGCAGTGAGGATGCAGCGGCACGGGCGCGCGGAGGTGGGGTTGAGGCGGAGGCCCGGTCTGCAGGCGCGGTCAGCCGGGGCCCCGGCGGGTTTTACCCGGGCGAGGTGTTGGAACTACCTACCTGGCCGTCTTGACCGGCCCCTGTGCCGGGAAAACCGAGTGGAATGGCAGTCCAATGAAATCACAGTGCATTGTTCATCAGTCGTTGCAGGGTCAGATTAGATTTGCCGCATCATAGCGATAAACAAACTGTGAACATTAGAAAGATATCACAGGACGCAAGTTGATTTCGGATACACGGTCGTGACATATCCAATGCGAATTTAATATCGTTATTATTAGAATGTAAGAATTAGTTATCCGGATGGGCATAAAAGGTTGCCTTTATTTTCGCGGTCGTGACCCCTTGCTTGTGTGCACCGTGTCGTATTTTCTGATGTCATTGGGACCGAAGAGGCCAGTTTATTTCACAGTAGTGAGCGGATCCATCCTTTTCTGAACTGCTCTGTATAGTGTTTGAATCACTACATGACGGCCGAAGGGCAAATAGTACAAAACTGAGTCGGTCCCGTAGCTCAGTCGGTAGAGCGTCGGACTCCGCGTGGTGAGAGCGCGCGTTCCCGGTTATAACAGTCCGGGTTTGAAGCGCGACGGGCGCTTGACGTTTATGGGCCGTCCTGACAGGTATGGTTGCGGTTGGTGGCAGGCCGTGGCCAGGCGAAGTCAGTGAGGGGACCGGCCAAGCGCGGCTATGTGCGCACGTTAAACTTAAGAATGCAAATTCTGCCATAGAACCGGAATCGCGCGATCGGAGGGTAGAGGGCAGGGTCAACGCAAGAAGGTTCGCTTAGCAGGGCTCTGTCCTTGTAAATCCTTCCATTTAAAAGGTTCGGACCAAATTTCTAAAAAAAAAATGCTACCGTTTTGGCTTTCCCGGATAGGAAATGCATGATGTACCACGCTTAATGTCAATATCTTCCGTTTCGTTTGTCTTTGTTGGTTATCTTTCTGTTCACCGAGAAGTATTTTATGCAGAAGTTAACAGAGACAAAAACAACTGTCATGTATTGTGTTTATTTTATATTGGAGCCCATCCCCATAAACATGTCTTTATCAAAGGGTGACATCCGACAACTGCTTACAGTTTTCACCCAGATGGGTGATTTTGTTCCCTGCATGCAAATATAACAACAAACAGTCTGAAGACTACGATACTCTGCAATTGAAATCAGCTATCTTAAGAGAAATCCTTACATGCATTCAGGCATGACTCTCGCAATACGCAAGACAGTCATTCTTCAGATCGATCGTTGCGTGATTGATAGGGCTTAGACGGCGCTGCGTTTTATCCTGTCTAGGTTGATAAAAGGCGCAACTCATGATGATATGCATGTGTATTATGCCAACTCGCCAATGCTTTTAACGAGTATTGCACGTTTCACACAACGTACATTTACACAATGAGCAACAAAGACAAACAGGATAATCAGTCAACCGACGTCTCCACGCCGGTTTCCAAACGACACACGGCTTGGACGATAACCACTTCGCACTGCCGAGCTGGTTTTGTGCGGCGTCTCCTACCGGCGCGCCGGTCTCCGCTCTAGTAGTTGCACTCGGGCACATTCTCCGGCTTGTCGCACTGCTTGGTCTCGTCGTTGAAGACGCGGCCCTGTTCGCAGCCGTGTCGCCGCGGCACCACGCCGTCCAGACAGGAGAAGAAGAACTGACAGTCGGCCGGGTCGGCGTAGCGCGGGTGCAGCGGCAGGTCGGCCGGCACGCCGGCCAGTCGCGGGTCGCCGGCGCCCGGACACTCGAACGCCAGCACCTCTGCCGACGAGCAGCCGGTGCGGCCGGCCTGGTCGGGCCACTGGCACGTGCCCATCTGCAGGGAGAACACCAGGCCCGACGGACACTCGACCCGGTTGCTGACGCCGTCCACGCAGTGGATGAAGGTGCCGCAGTTGGTCGGGTCGGGATCGGCGTAGTAGCCGTTCTGGCGCGGACAGTCGCCGGTCGGCTGCGCCTCCTGCAGCTCCTCGCGGCCCGTGCAGTTGACGGAGAACACCTGGTCGCAGCGACCCAGCGTCGGGCTGATGTCGTTGAACACCAGTCCGTCCGGGCAGAGCTTCTCCGTGATCACGTAGTCGCGGCACTCGTAGTAGCGGTCGCACTGGAACGCGTCGGCGAACACCCCGTCGCGCAGCGGACACTCGGACTCGAACTCGGGCACCTCTGGCGCCGGCGTGGTCCGCGCGGGCACCACGCGGCTGGCGGGCCGGCGCCGGGCCGCGGATGGCTCGGCGGCGGTGCGGCGTCGGCCCTGGGCCAGCGCCGGGGCGGCGCAGAGCGCCAGCAGAGAGGCGCAGAGCAGCAGCGGGCGCATGTCTGCGTGGCCGGCCGGCTGGAGAGGGTGTGGGGAGCGCCGGCGCGCCGGCCGGCCGCCGCACCGACCCGAGCTGGTCGGGCCGGCTCTCCTCCCTGCAGGCGACGGCCGCTCACTCTCCTAACTGGACTGAATACAAGGACAAAACTCCCGGCCGGCCGGCCCCGCCCGTCGGGAAGACACGCCGACAATGGACGGCTTTCACTGAACTGGTGCTACGGGGAAGAGTCTCCAGCAATGTGTCGATTCTCGTCATAGCTGATTCTAACGGTTTGCGGTAGATTCATAAAGGTGAAGAGGAATAGACGTTGAACACATCTCCACAAATAAGGAGCTAATGCCATCGCTGCCACCGTGCTTCCACGATATTAATCCCTCTAAAACTCTTCTTATAGCGAAACTCGTTGGCCTTTTGCATGGGTAATGGTCTGCCGATATTGCTCAACTAATGCCTAGGTGTTACCGGTGCAGTTTTAGAGCCTTTGATTCTCCTCTGCTCGGCCTTATTCCAACCCTTTTATTGACATTTTTATTGAACAGTTACGGCTAAAACCTGATACCTAAGCCATTGTTCTAAGACGGGCAAGTTCCAACTAAAAAAGTAAACCGCTCCCAAACTTTCCCTAACCGTTTGCAATTTCTCTTTGCCCCCATAAGCTTCATATGAGTCAGGGATCCTTCATCGACCGTGACGGGGCTCGGAGCGGAAAGAGAACAAACATGGTTTTCTGTCTTATTTCGAAACTTTCCTGTATCTCGATTACAAAAACGTCAATTAAAATATGTCGCAAAACGAATTTTAAAGGTAGTGTGCCAGCTTTCCTGGACCGTATGGAGTTAATGGCCCAGATAAGGAGAACCGGATTTTTAGAACTTATCCATACCTTCAAAACTCATGGAAACGTCTTAAATTCTTCAAATTTTTAAGTACCCCAGTGCGAAATTCGCCCCGATGGGTTGTCGGTCGTACCCCAACCACATTTCACACCACTATGAACAATAAATGCACACACTGAAATCGCTATTACCGATATGCTCATCCAATCAAGTTTCGATAAACCCGTTCATCATCATCTCCTGCGGTTTCGAACACGCCTGTCAGGTGGTGCGGTAGACCGCGCCCAAAGCCAGGGCCCCGGTAACGTGAGGTAGCCGAGTCGGGGCAGCGTGCGCTGACCCAAGCCGGGGCCGCGCATCCTCCCGGTGTCATGTAATAGCCCGGGGCTGCCCGCGGGGATGCGGTAGACCGCGCCCAAAGCTGCGGCCCCGGCTTGGGTCAGCGCACGCTGCCCCGACTCGGCTACCTCACGTTACCGGGGCCCTGGCTTTGGGCGCGGCTTCTGCTCATACTTTGTAGTGCGGTGGTGGTGCGTCGGGCCGCGCGCTCTGACTTCGGCCAAGAAAAATGCGTCAGCTGATCATTGTCATTTCTGCCACTTGCGTGTGGTGAAATGGGGTCATAACTTAAGAAACGGCTTTTTCGTATCAATTATCTTACATAAAATCATATTTCAAACCATAAATAATGTTCGACAGCCAAATAAAAGAAACAATACCAATACAGGCTTACAGTTTAACCCCGCGTTCGATGTCTCTCGGACGGCGAAGATTCTACGTCGTCCGGCCAATCCCGTCCAAGGTCAAAGGGGGCTCGGCTGCGGTTATGGAACGTGATTGGCCGGACGGCGTAGAATCTTCGTCGTCCGAGAGACATCGAACGCGGGGTAAGGCTCGACATTGTGTTGTCTACGATTAGACAGCTGATAACTCATTCCCGTACAGTGTGTCTAAAAAGAATGTACCGTCGCCACTACGTGGCGCTGGTGTCGCGAGCCGGTAGTTGGCTGAATCCGCACCAGACCACACATTCCCAGGCGCTAGGTGACAGCTGCGCAGCGGCCGGTAGTAGCGTAACCCCGAACCTTCGTGACACGACCCCGGGGGGGGGGGGGGAGGGAGGGGAGCGGGCGGGGCAGCGCGTGTAGGGAGGGGTGCTCCGGCAAGCTGGCAGTTGTCGCGGCCAAAGGTCAAGGGGTCACACACCAAGCGAACGGACGCTGATGTGGGTTCGTGGGGATCATGAACTTGTGTGTGGTAGGTGCGTCTTGCGATGCACGGGTGATACGCCAGGTCTAAGCCAAAGGATTCGGGGGAGAGCTGAAGAAAACACCTGGTCAACTACGGCGAATAATAGTGCTGAAAAATGGAAAGTATGGGCCAATGCAAGCCTTCATGACTATAAACAACTTTCTGAGGACGCAAAGGCCAGCATTGAATAACGATATCCGGGTCGAAATTAGCAATGATTTATAATTAAAAACTAATAGCGCTGCAAAACCCTCCTAGTAAATTGTCAAGTCGGATTATACCCACTTGAATTAAACTATCCTAAATAAAATTGTTAATTAACTTTCTAACACTGACGTTCTTTATCATACGATAAGTATGGGGTTAACCAAGATTCAGCATCTTCCGCGTTCAAACAATCACCTGTAAGGCTAGAACATTAATGGCCAGGTAAAAACATGGTCGGGATTTGATTAACCGGATTATAAGTCGATTTTTTAGTCGGGATTTGATAAGTCAGAAATTTTTTACGCCAACCGCATTTTTAAGTCAAGTCAGGTCACTGATCTATGACGTCATAAATGAGCAATCCTAAAATGAACTGTGTGAAACTGTCCTAAACTGTCCTCAACATTTTAGGACTGTGTGCACACTCCTAAAATGTTCAACTTCGCTACACCCTCAGTGCAGAGCTTTCATAGGGAGATGAAACTTACAGGATCTTATAGTATGATCGAGAGTCTCACAACTTGTATAAATGAATATCTCGGATTTTCTGAAGGGTCGCCTGAGATCAGGTCAGTCTCTCACCATTAAAAGTCAGGGGAATATGGAAATTGCTAGTTTGGTCCGGAAATGATATACAACTATCTCAAATTCTCAAGCACACGGAATCGCGATTTCATGCGCTCCTTGCAAGGTCTGATGCTTTAATTTTGCTTTGTTGATCTTGCGTGACGTCATTTATCACGTAACCAAGGGTATCAGTTTTTCGTCAATAACTCCCGATCAACTAAAGCTACCGAGTCGATAAAGCCACTAATGGACATGAAAAGACCTGCCGAATCGATTGATATATTGCAATATGACCTCCTTTGACCAGGTTCGTGACCTGACGGGCTGTGACCTGACCTTGACCCGAGGTTAACACCTTAACTCTCGCCCATATTGGTGTTTTTCCAGCCGCAAACGTATAAGGGGGGGGGGGGGGTCCGTTGGACCCTCCCTTGCCGTTTCGCCCCTGATCGAGCTAGAGCTTCGCGGAAAAACGAGCGTGTTGGCCGTGACGAGAGGAAGTCGATGATACCCAATTTTAAGGTCCTAGGTCATCGGTTGACTTTCCAGGTCAGGTCAATGACCCAAAAGTCGGCAAAATCGGGCCTGTTAGAAAGTCGTAAAGCGTGGCTGCTATGGGGTTTTCGGGGTGCTGATCACGAATATCATGTTAGTTTTGATCACAGATGATGTCTTCATGCATTTAGGCCAGGTCGGGTCAGGTCAGGTCAGGTCAACCAGTAAGGGTATTCGTAGTAGGTGGCAACCGCCTCTGACAGCTTCGCAACATGTTACGAGGGCACCAAAGCTATTTCGTAAATGTTCATATGGCTGCTAAATTCGAATTCAGCTCCTAAAACTGGCCTAGAAACATGTAAAACTCGAAAAAGTGAACCGAGGTCATCAAAGGTCAATACCTGACCTGACTTTCCGGTGACCTTGACACCCACCCTAATGCATGGAAGCAACATCATATCCCATGTTTGAACGCTTAAAACCACGAAAAGACTGCAAACGCGCCGCTAATGCGAGCCGACATACGCCGAATCGCGATTCCGGCCAAACATGGTCTCGAAAAGTAGGTCGCAGGTCAAAGGTCATTAAGATCAGGGTCATGACGATTTCAGGGTGAGTGTAGAATTGATTAACGCGAGGGTAACGAAAGTTTCGTCGCGATCGGCCGCTTTTTACGCGAGTTATTCGCGAAAAACCGAGGGAGGGGGTCCGTTCGACCCCCCCCCTCTATACGGGCGAGGGTTAAGTTGATCTCACCCGAAGAAAAAGTATACCATTCGACACGCCTGAGCTAGACAAACACGATGCTGCTAAAATCGCGGGTCTGCGATCATTTTTAGCGAAGTTATTTACCAAAAACCGAACCTGTGCCTTGGGCCACTTGACCTGACCTCCGAAGTCATCGGCTGACCCTGGTCCTTAAATCGGAGACCAATCGCTGCATTTCGTAACGACGCACACGATCGTTTCTTTCGTGAGGCTCTAGCTCAATTAGGGGCGAATCGGCGAAGGGGGTTGTTTCCTCACTTCCAACCCCCAACGTCCCTCGGTATTCAGAAAACCTGAAGGTCCGGTGAGGGTTAAAACGTTTCTCCTGAACGAGGAAGAAATGTAAAAGTCAAAGCTCTATAGACGTCCTGTAAAAGTGGCCATAATAATAAATTCGTTAGAAATAAGATGCTTTTTAAACGACTTCCTCATATAAAATCGGGTGCTGGGACCAATCTTATAAACGCTTTAGAATGGACAGGGCGTCACAGGCTAAAGTTTGGGTGCAGAAAACGGCTATTACCTAAATGCAAAATGGTTTTCATGCATTTCAGTCAATTGTATATTGTCGGTCCCAGTGGCCGAGCTAAAAAAAAATCGGTAGTGTTTTGCATCTTTTACGCCCTAAGAAACTACACCATCTATCGAAGTGGGCGGGCTTATTTGAATGGGAGGGCGCATTATGCACGAATCGAGTGCTTTCGTTTATTTTGGACTGTATTTTACCACATCCACTGCTGGTATCACTATTAGTATTATCTAAAGCCGTGAATACGACAGCATTCCATTTATAAGATTGGGCCAATGGAGTCGCGCCCCGCGAGCTCGGTTTTCCGCTGGGCCGCTACAGGCCAGGAAGTCGGTCTTCGCCTGAGGGCAGGACAAGGTCAGCGAGGGAGCGCTGGGTCAGCCAGG